CCCCCCCCCATGTGCTGTGTTCTGGTATGCGTATGGCGATCCGGAACGTGCGTATGGCGCAGCTGCAGCTTCGACGCATGCTGAAACGTGAGGCATGTGTCGCTACGGACCCCAGCGGGGCAGCGGTGAGAACGAGGCCAATGTGGGACAGCCGCATGCGGCGTACGCCTGTGGTCATCGATATAAGGGTCCTCCGGCATGACGATTGAATCAGGAAGGGGAAGGGCGGCAGTAGTGGCGGCGTGGCTGCAGTCGTCATCGTCTACAATGGTGCTGAAAAGACTGGATGAAGCTCCACAGGCCATTTATACAGAGCCCAGGAACAAAGGAGTGGTGGTCTACGACGCGCGTAGTAAAACAATGCAAATCCGCATCGATACATCGGACGTGCGCGAGCCTTTGCAGTCTGTCTCGGTATCTGTATTGGCTTGTATTGTCCCTTACGGGTTAACTGCTTCGCCGAGGTACGGGCGATGTTCTTCGTGCCACTTCATATAGCCCCAGGCAAGCAGAACTCGAGTAGAATATGCGGATAAATTTGAAAGTACCGATATGCGTATTGGCTGTCGAGTCGCTACTATACTATTTAATAAGCGGTAATGGGGGTCCAAAGCGCGTGTGTGGATCAATGCGAGGCTTCGATACGGACCATGTGTCTCCCTCCTCATTGTAAGTCATTATCTGCGTTTACTGTCTGCTGACACTACGGGACCAATGAATATTTTTTAATGGACCTTGTTCATTATGGAGCCAGTGTATGGGGTGTTGACAAATAATATGGTTTTATGAAAGGGATAGTGACTGTAAGTCGCAAAAGCTGCCATTAGATTCGGAGTACTCGTCCGAAGAGATTCAGCTCTACACTCACCGAAATGACCGCATATCAGTGCTCAGAGGCCTTTCAAGCGTATTTCAGCCGTGATCAGACTCAAGAAGGACTGCGCGTATCATTCGCTCTCTTGGATGCTTGATCCACGCATTCGTGGCGCGCGCACGTCGAGCTCGGTAACGCGGCACCGTATGCGCCTTCCTAATGGACGTGATGGGTGGAAGGATTTGGAAACGCAGGAGGAGTGGATAGGATGCTGTGTTGGAGTGACATCGGCGACGCCCTTGGCAGCACATGGTATGAGTGTCCCGGAGACCACCCCGAGATCCAGATGCGGTGAGCAGGAGCCAGCGTGGTTCGCGCACTGCAACCCTTGTCGAGGCTCCTAGCTGCGTCCCAGTAAAAAGGAGAAGCCTGGAAGCCTGGGCTGCCGCGGGTGCCTGAAAGAACGGCGTCGACGGCCGCTGAAATGCGGGCTGCTGCCGTAGTACCCTGCAAACATGTGCAGCGATGACGGTTGAAACGGCGCGAACGTGAGTCAACGAATGAGAAAGGAAGTAGACAGACGCACCTCGCCCATTCTGGGCAAATCGAGAGTCGTGGAGTACGGGTACCAGAGAGGTGATGGAAGTGGGATGTGTGCCCATTCAGCCAGGAGAGCTATGGGTGCTGGGGGCTGGGGGCTGAGTGCTGTGCTGTTGAGGTTGTTTGAATGAGTACAAGACGCCCTATATGTGGTGGTGGTGATGAATGATTAGTGCGCTGGGGGCATTTATACTCTAAGGGTATGGATGGCCGATCGCGTAGAGGTCGTGGAGAAGGCCAATGCGCATGGCCGTGCGCACAACAAGCACACAACAAGGCTAGAACCACAGGACCCGCACGCGATGACGGATGTGGGCATGGGGTGCACCCACAAGACTGGCTTTGGCGAAGGAATCGCACTATTACGAGGCCAGCTCAGTCGGAGCGCGCCCCGCGGGGAATTCATGACCACAATTATCGTTGAGCGCGTTTGAAGTTTGAAGTTTGAAGACATGATGAACGAATCTGACCCGAGCATGTAAACCGCATGTGAGGGAATAACATACATTATTCTCCTTCTACTTTCTCGATATCGAATTCCAGAGTTGCATGCCGCACGCCCGGTCAGAGATACTAAGATGGAGACAACTTGTGCGCATAAAATGCATGTACAAGTCGCAGAGATAGAACGAGCGGGCAGATGAGCATCGTGTGATGATGTCGAAGTCAACGGCCCGTGTCTGCAAGAGAGAAAGGCCCGGGCGTGCGCGCATACGCTGACGAGAATATGCTGACGAGCGCGTCATATCGGCGCCAACGCGCGCTCGCGCAGGTCTCCCAACGTTCTCCCTTAAACGGACTCGGACACAGGGAAAGCCTCTATAAACGATCTCTAGGACATACAACTCTCGCATAAGCCCCAGAATTCCACACGACCTTCGAACAAGCCCAAGCTCGAGATCAGACCCCACCTCCACTCAGCTCTCTGCTGCGCCGTGAACCACGATCGATTCTTTGTACTTGCGCTGTGGAAGCCATTCAGTCTCGCGCTTTTTTTATGGGCCAGACTGATCGCGATGGCAGATGAATGAGGACACTTACCTTTGGAGTCATATTTGCGCTGTTAAGACGTCCCGACGAGTTCTTGGAAGAGTCACTGGAGTGTCGTTTTGATGAACGAGCTCGACTCTGCTTGGGAGCGCAGTTATTTGAAGCATCACGGTATCCGGAAGAGGGTGGGGAGAGAGATGAGGACGTGTACTCGGAGCTCTCATCATTCAACCAAGGTGTCTCTAATGGCCCTCGCGATGCGTAGCTTGAAAAGTACTCTTGGACAGTATCGATAACGGGCTGCTTCGTGTGGGAGTTCCCTCTGCATGAAATCGAGTCGCTTGGAGTCAGGGACTCTGAATCGCTCTCGCTGTAGTCGGCGCACGGGCGGTTACCCTGGATTGAGCAGCGGTGTCCGTGCTCTTGGAGGGAAGCGGAAGCCGCGGTCTCCATTGTGTGGATGATGTATCGCAATTCTGCGCTTTCCTGGCGGAAAATCTCGTTCTCGTCGCCCCACCTCGCATTGCGAACGCGCAGCGCATGGTTCAGAGCTCGCAATTCGTCGACCTCTGCGCGTAGCCGTCGATTATTGTCCAGCTGAACACTGAGAGCCTTACTGAAATCTTTCATGTTCGTGAGGAGACGCAAGACATGCGGGTTCCTCGATACCTCGTGGAGCTTGAGGTTTTCGACAGGGGTCGCAATAGAAGCGGAAACGATAGCTTCGGGGACACTGGTGATATGAGGAGGAAGAGCATTGGACATGGTCGTAGATCCTAGCCGCTCGGAGGAGCTCAAAAGAGAGACGGAAAACTCGCCTGTGTGAGCGCCACGTATATAAGTCGCAACATGGCCGACTGAGCGCGCATGCATGCATGCACTGTGACTATACAACGACTTGGTCTGACTGAAAGCCATCTTCCTGACTGACTTTGCCCGATATCACTCCGGACCATGGCGTCGCTCTCCGGGCCGGCGGATTTCGACTCCTCGACAAAACAGGAACGAACATCACAGCACACACCTCTGAAGGTGCCCAGCTGCATCAAGATCAAGTCAACATGGTCTTTCAGAGCTATTTATAAATACAGTCAACGCTACTCGGTACAGAACAAGCATCGAGCAGACTCACCGTTACAATTGCACATCCGACACAGACGAGGACAGAGACTTACGCAAACTGAAGCCGTTCTAGTCTTACGGTGATCGAGACTTAGACCAAGAATGCAGAGACAAAGGGATGTCGCGTCGTTCCTCCCCGTGAATGGTTGCACAACGCGCGTCCGCTGCTGCTTTGTTCCGCTGCACATAAATGCGGGGACTGCTCTGGTAGAATGTCGCAACCTCGCGCATCACACATCGCACACCAGACTTGATGTTCACGATAACGATGACAGCGCAGCCCTATCTGCCCTCTTTCCTGATTCGATCGTCGTCGTTATCGATGCCAATCTTGCTTGTGTATACAAACCCCCACTGCAACTGCAACATGTGAAGCGGGCGAAGTTTGGAGCGCATGATGATCAGGTGTGTAGGAGAATCACTGAAGGGATGCGTTCGACGCCAGCTGACCAAGGCTCGTCCCAGACCTGGAAGACCGCTATGAGCGTTAACGGGAATCCACAAGGAGAACACGCCTCTATATGCTCACATATATAGTGGACAACGCAACTTCGGTCCTATCAGGCAAAGTGTGAGCCGCACCCCGCCATACAATGCACCCTGTACCGACATCCGCAAAGACAGCCTGTATGCGTTGCCATCGACCCGCCTTGCTGTACTTCCAGCATCTCTCGTCGCCCTCCTTCGCATCTTACATCCTTTCGCACCCACACACCGAATACAAGGGCTTACAGGTGTGAGACGGGGTCGGAAACCTGAACGACGAAGCGATGAAGTGATGTCGCGCGAGTCTGAAGAGATTTGCTTACCTAGGAAGTCCGCTTCAAAATCATCCAAATGCCCTATGCGCGCCATCGTATCCATGAGAATATCATTAAATCCCATAAAACTCGGATCTGTTCAGCGCCAGTGGGGAAGTTATGAGATGTGGACATATATACATATATGAAGTAGGATAAAGCTATTGAAACCACGTTGTCTGTTCGATGAATAGCATACATACATTGATATCCACTGTAATCGCTCTTCAGGGAGATGTCATAGACCTCTGAGAGATACAGGAAGTAGGTCAGACAAACGCGAGCCTTGGACCAGCCGCATACAGGCTACCACAGCGAAACCAGACGAATCGCCACCCACTTCGGCGCTGGAAAGTCCTGGGCAATCCGGCATGCCACGACACAGCCAGGAACGCATAATTGCATAGATGAATATGTTTTCACTGAAATAAAGATTGAGCATTGACGACGCAGGTACTCAACGCACAGCATGGGAGGTACTTGGAGGAGGCGTTGGAGGAGAACGCTGTTGCAGCCTCAGACGCCGAAGTGGGTCCATGCGGTAGTTGCCGAAGCGGGGGTCTATCTCAGATCCCTGACGACGAATGCTGCCGCTCCCGCAGACGGTGTACGTACAATACTGTCTCTGCCAGTGGGTTGACGATGGACAAGACGAGTGGGACCGTCACCGGGAATATGAGATAGGCTTCGCTTCGGCAGTGATTGGACGGTGCTACTTCGGCTGCAATCCCTTCCTGCTTGCAGAATGCGATGCTGCTGCTGCACGTTCAGTACGAGAAATGTCCCTAGAGGACGCTATCCTCCTCCGTGCATCTGTGAGTCATAATCCAGATGATATCGCCTCTACAGTGAAGACAGTGAGCTTAGCGTAGGTCTGCATTGCTACTACCAAGTCCAACGCGGACGTTGCCCACGAAGCTGAGTGCCCATTCAAGTTTCCTCTCATTGATGGAACTTCTTATTTCTCTTTAAGAGGTGCTGAGTAGCGTACAATTGTGTGCTGACTCATCTGTGTCGCTGGTGGCGGGACGCCACACTGAGAAGCGCTTTACGCAGCAACGCTTTTGTGGCCTTTGGAAATCGTGGCGGCGACAACGTGTTGCCACGGTCTATATTTCTGCATGCGGGTGTGGCGCAGCAGATTTTGGGAATTTGATCTACATATGCTCACCCTTATGACGGAACTAGACAGCTATTTTCGGTGCTGATTATTTTTCCATCCTCACAAACGCAGCTTGACGTTGAATTTTTTGGGGGGCTGCACCCGCGTTTCAACTCAAAACAAGCCACCGTTCCCGGCCCTTGGTCTTCCATGCCCTGCGTGGCGTAGGGGTCTGCTGCGGGCCACGGCCTTGGGTCTGTGTATGGCATGCGCTTTGTCCTCAGCAGAGGCGGGGCCACGTCCATCCCCAGGTATAAATACCCTTCCTAGTGTTCTACAGCCGTCACTTCGCAACTCCATTCCACAGTTCCTCCAGTGATCTCCTCCACAATGAAATTGCGCCTTTCTGAGGCGCGCTGCGCTGCTTGTCCCAGCCGCCATCCCTACCTCGACCTTCCTGGTTCAATCGTCACTCTCTGGTACCCGCGGCCAATATCGCGGATTACCTCTGTCTCGGCGACCCCGACAAGTTCGACTTGGCCACTTACGGCGTGACACTTCCGCCTTGCCAAGCAGCTGTCGCATGTCCCTGTCCCGCACATGTTGTGATGATGCGTATGTTGAGCCCTGCCCATTTACCCTCGCATTACTAATCGCTGCCCTGCTTCCACAGCTTCGCGTCTCCACCTTCTGGTCCGCTCCGCCTTGCACATGCCGCTGCTCCGCGCGCGACTCAAGGTCCAAGCCCGCGCGTCCACATTGGTGTTTCGGTCTTGCACCCGACCATGAAAATACATACCGCGGGTCTAGCTTGCACCCACTGATTCTGCCATACTCCGCATCCGCCGCCCGCACATGTTCAGCCCTGCAAGAATAATGAGAGAAAGAGACGTCGCAAACACCGGCAATGTTTTTCGAGCAGGCTGTGGCGGCAACGTGGTTAATAAGCCGTGTGTGGGCGTCCGCACCGCGATGGCCAGTCGGCTAACGGAGTTGATGCGGTGGTAATCCGCACATCATGGTCGCCAAACGGGCGTGTGCTCGATGCGTTGTGAATGGAGAAGGAGATGTATAGGGCCCAACGAGGACAATTTAGACAGAGGTCTGACACTGGTGGGGAAAGGGAAAATGTGCGCGTTGGCGCGAAAATAGTGGCGCGAGGCTGTACTCCGTATACGAAAAGAAACACGGGCACGACAATGTGCTAATTTTATAACTACTACTACTTTTATATGCAACAGCAATAGAAGTGCAACACTGTGCTAACTTTACAAATTACTTGTACAATATGCTATGTTCTCCGAGCTAGCATCGCATTCGGCCGAGCCTCACAGGGACGTAGCCAGGGTTGCTAGAGCCCACTTTGCAAAGTTCTTCTTGAAGTTCTTCTGGGACGCCACTGGTAGAGCCTGAATGACTACTGAAGCCGCTGTACTTGTATCCTGCAGTGGATCAGTAAATGTTCGCGAGAAATAAAGGTGCAGTGCCAGTGAACATATCTGTAGCGAAGGCGAATTGAGGGATATACGAAGCCAAGAGGTGCGGAACTCGTCGGTCACCGGGTGGATTCCGGTCATACTCAGGGAGACAAAAGAACTGCAGCATCGTGAGACAGGCTTGTGTTAAAAACCAGAGAAGAATATTTCTGTAGGCGAGTATCTGATCCAGGTCAGATCAAGTTGTAAGGGTTCTTCTTGGCATGGAATATTTAATACGGTGAAGAGTATCTTTATCTAGAAACGAACGGTACGCAGAAGACATCTACCAATGAGCCATCGAGAAAGTGAGTTTGAAGAGAGTGGCCCGTACTGATCCACGTCCACACCGGCCATATAGCCAACCGCGAAGGCCTCCGTCTGGTGCTTTGGCCCATGCCACTCCCTTCAGAGTCACATGGGCCGTCCACATCGCTTTTGTATAAATACTCGCGGATGGTAGAACCCCAGTAGCATCTCTCATCGTGCTGCCTCCCCGTTGCTTGCACTGGCAGCAGCACTCTAATGTTTCCCGCTGCTATGCACTCACCTCTCGACGCACCCAGCCTCTGCTTTCCTCCTCCCAACCTTCATGATGACTCAATCGTCACCCTCTGGTACATCCTTTGCCGCCTCAGGCGGTCCGGGCGCTGGCAATCCAGCTGAAGTAGCGCGTGTGTGGTTCTTCTGCGCAAGCTCACCGTAAGTAGAGACGATTCTCAGCAACTCTTCGTCAAGCTCAGCGGTATACTTTGCTAAACTAGATTCCGTGTTGATGTACGCTGGTTCACGCATCTCCAGCACAGAAATATAGCAGGGAGCCCTCAGTTCCCGGGACGGGGCCAGTCCGGGGTCGACGCCGATGTCTTCTGCGCAGTCATGGAGTGGCTGTCGTTGAAGCGCGTGTGGTAAGGCAGCATGCGACCTTCATAAAATGAGTGCTAGCTGACTCCCGGCGCTCGCATTCAGATAAATACTGCGTGCCACTGTCCATACATCGCTCCCACGTCAGCGGTGATCCTGAAACACGCTGTGTGATCAGGCAAGGGTGGTGTAGGGCGTGGGTGCATCAAATGTGCGACGGGCAAGGGGGTGGTCAATACCCTCTGCGGTATTGCGAGCTGTTTGCGCCGCTGTGCGCACTATTAGGTGGGTAGGGAGACTGGACGCTGGACAACATCATGTAAGTCCGGCCATGCTAATGATACCAGAATACTCATGCCGTCATAGCCGCTTTCATGGTGATCCCCCATTTCTGTATGGCCCTCTATGCAAACCCATCACGTAGTCTTTTAATCCGCCTGTCCTCCCGGATTAGCCAAAACTGCATTTCAATCTATCTCCGTGCCCGGATGTCTCTATCACTGTACCACATCTCCATAGTGTAGATTTTGAGCTGTACTTCCTATTAATATCTCAGTTTGCATTTTTCCCACGACCGACCTCATAAGATGTTGGCATGACTTATCTTCACCATGACTAGGCCTCTTCATCTTTATTCCTGAAGACATCTATAAGAAAGAGAAACATACATATCATGCATTGTTGCAGAACACGCGGCGTGAGCGAAGACTTTACAAAACCAACGCTCCTTTGTTCCATTTCCACATATATACCCCCCCCTTGAGCAACCAACGAATGCTCGCAGGATTCTGTGCCACAAGACTCAAAAGCGACCGTCCTTGTTGCACAAATGCGCCCACCCATGTCTCCACGTAAATTCCCGCTTCCTGATTCAATCGTCGAGCCGTGCGTTCCTCGCGGGTTTGTTCTCGTCTATCCTTAATTTCACATGTCTATCATGTTGGATTTGAGCTCTGCTAGCAAGTCCTAGTGCGCAAGTGGGTTAAACCTCATCTTCATATACTCCCGACAGTGGTGACATCCCGTTCGTCAGCAGTCCCCTAACCGCACCACCTCGCAGTCTCATCTTGCGGAACTCACCTTGCGCCGTCGGCGCTCTGACGTTCAGCTGGTCTAGGAGGGCGCGACGCGAACAACTATACGCTCAAGTCTAAGACACGTCGATACGGTCCAAATGCGCCCCAATTCATCCACTTCCAAGGATGCGGGTATACAGAGAAGAAAGCGACGGACGAGAGAAAATACCAGAGCAAATAGAAGCCCGCCCTTTCCATTTCAACGTCGTCGGCTGCACCCTCCATCGATACTCGTGGTGATGCGCATGACTGTGTCTGCGATTGGTTCTGTACATGTGAGTCCAGGAGCGGAGGTCGGACTGCGAATGGCCATCAATGCACGAAAATGATAGGACGACAACGACGACAGTGAACATGCCGCACCCGGACCGTTGAAGTTGGGCAGCGAGCTCGCGGCTTTAATTTACAGCATGGCGGGGTATCTTCGTGGGCAAAATGGTTGTACGAGTAGATTCCAAAGGAACCAGTGCCTGTAGAGTTGTTGTAATAGTACCGTACCACGTCTCCGTATAAACTTCTGAACCTTGGTACAAAGTACGCTGATTTTGCTGGTCGTGAGTGGTTCGACGAGAACAATCCGCAGGGGCTAGCACGCGACTCTGCACTCTGCTGCCAGGCTTACTGAAAATTCGGATGCAGTGGTTGCGAGGAGACTTGTTTCGGCCCCTGCCGGACGCTGCCTCCTCTCGTCGCAGAGTTGAAGCCACCGCCGCTTGCCTCTTGGTCACTTTGTTCATCTGCTTGTCTTGTACGAGCCAACTGCAGCTTGCCACCTCTGTCTCCGTCTGTCTCTATCGCTATGTGCTGTAGGAACCACTCATCTCGTTGCATCCTGCTCGTAAGTGTCAACATGTAGATCCCTCTTTCAATGTCGATGGGTCGACGATATCGACGTTGATGCGAGGATAATGGGGTCGTCCTCGCGTGTCTTATGGCATACGTTCTTCATAGATGTAAGTTTTTGCTCCGGCTCTCCACCCTTTTGGAGCGTATGTTGTTTAGGATCGATGATTTCACGTTTATGACTTTCACCATCTTCAAGGAGGACGTGCTCGATACAAGTTGCCATATCGGTTCATAAGATCTCTCTCTCTCTCTCTCTCTCGCTAAACACCTGCCCGCGGCCACCATAGCGGCATGTTACCGACGATATTCCTCCAGACGCTAGGCCATTGAGAGACAAATAATGCCGACTCAGCTCAGTACTGTATGTCCTCAGTTTGTTTTGTAAACCTTCTTTCGCTGCCTTTGAAATGTACGCATCACCTTCGCGGTTGCGAATGTATACGGGATTATCCTCATGAGTTTCCGACTCGTGCGAGTGGGGGGCTGCTTTAGCTTGTTCGCCATTCAGAACTTTACCCCTCCATACTGCTCAATCATTGTAGCCATTTTATTTTGCTGTGCATCCGGACTCTACAGTGCCATACAGCCCACATATTATATTACGTGAACTAATATGCCTTTTGACATTGTACTTCCTCATTTACTATGATTTATTTATGGTAGATTGCATATGCCGCCGCGCTAGCTTGCCTGTTCCACCTCGCTCATCCGGTCTGTCGCATTCGCCGCTTAATCTGGCCAGACCTCGCCCCTGGTCGTGAGGCCGGAGACGAATACATTGTCCTCGCGTCCAGGTCGCTGAACGCAATGTACAGACAATAGGAGGGCCACTTCTAGTGAAGGATGATCGATGAGCTTCCAGGCCAGTTTGAAGCAATCACAAAGGAACAGGGTGTAGAAAATGATAGTACGTGATTCAATTGTTCTAGCCACCACTCCATTCTTTCCTCCTTAAGCCGCAACATGATGACGCGTTCCGTCTCGTTGCTTTGTTCATTGCTGCATAAATACCCTCAGGGCAAGGCCACTGCCATCCCGCCAATCCTTCTCCCTCACATTCGCACATCTCTAGTGCCGGAACGTCTATAAACGCTACGAGATGACCCAATCCTCTGCCTTAGCTGACTCGCCGCGCCCACGCACACAGTTGCTGCTTCCTGGTTCAATCGTCGTCTCTCCCCACATTCCTTGCGCCGATTCGATGCGTATGCCCACTCGCGATTTTCGTCTGTGTACGGCCACTAATTGCCTCATATACCCGTACGAGAGATCTGGCGTCCTTGTCCCACATACGCACTTGGTCGACAATTTTGGGAGTGGCGCAGCGATACTCTACACGCGAGAGTAGAAGCTTGCGATGTCGCAGAAGCAATATGAATGTCTGTTCAAGTTTCATCCGACGCGTCTGTCTTCACAGGAACAGGCGTGTGCCATGTCGTGTCGCTTCTGAAACCACCCACGGCGAGCCTGCGCGCAGTGCCACAAGGCAGGGGTGGTGGTAAGTTGCTATCGTTATTGTATTCATCAATTCCTCGATGATGGGTATTTTCAGCTTCCAGCGGTATGCCTTGACCAAGTGTTCGGGAAGGACCCCTTCCTTGCTGTGCACCACACCCTGCAAGACTAATTGAAGTGCTGCTCCGAGCACACGCAGTGCACTATGACTTCAAGTGCCCGTGCATTCGATGAGTGACGTTCGAACTAGGATCCCGACGTCTCTGCTCTGTCAACCCGTTCACCTCCTCCCTGCTGGCAACATCATGTCTTCCCTGTATGTTTTCGCTCTATCACCATATTGGATGCCTTCTGCATGGTAATTTATCCATATGGCAGAGGATGAGACAAGCCAAGAAGTGTCCTAATAGTAGTAGAAGACATGCTCCAATATAACAACAGTCTTTTCCTTTTTTGGGACTCGCCTAAGGTATGGATCGTCTTTGTTTTTCCATTGAAATCCGAGTTTTCCCTTCTCGGATGAAATTAAAGCCAGCTTAACCCTAAATTTTACAGACGAACCACTTCGTCGCAGCATCGGCATAGCTCATTTGGATCCTTGCCGACCGAAGAGAGGTTCTCAAGCACGATGTCATAACGTTGACAGACACAATGCTGTCGTTGTTTTAGTCTCCCTCGTCGATTTTATCAAGCAGCATGACCAAAAGCAAGATCGGCGGCTCCTCCATTACCGTCAGACAAATTCACCCTCGCTCTCGTTCTGACACTATGGCCGTTTGTCCGTCGATGTCACGGTGTGAGCGCAGTCTAATAACTTACCCGCTTTTGCTGGTGCGCCTGGGATGTAGCCAGTCCCTCGATGCACTGCGGAAGACCATCTACAAGGTGCATTTATGTCCTTAGGGCAAATACATCACGAGATGGAAACTGTTGCAAATTAATATGCGTAAATTTACTCCTTTAAGGTAAATATATCATCCTCGACCTGCTCGCATTGAGTAATTACGTTGGCTGATCCTTTTTGATTTTGATAATTGTCTTATTTATAGATGAATACTTCGCCTGAAGATGGCACTGTCACGCTGAGGGACTGGATGGACACGAAGTTTCCGAAAGCGGAGGCGAACGTTCCCGGAGAGACAAGTTTGGCACGGCCTGCCTCAGCCCTGGCCTAGGTCGATGCAGGGAAGAGGAAGCTCCATTATTCGCAAGGACACTCGCGATGTCTCATTACGATGATGCAAATGCTAGTCTCCTCAATTACGGGGAAGACGTTGGCGTGATTGAGGGTGGGTACAACTTTTGATGGTCGCATCTGGGGCGCTATCATGATGACCTTCTCATTGGGCTGGCCATGGGTAGTTCAGGTTACAACGGATGAAGAACGACTAGCGACATAAGAAACGTACCTATATTCGAGGAGAGCGGCCATACGGTGGCAAAACGCACAAACTACATAAAAATTCAGTAATCATTGCCTGTAAATGCGATACATGCGACGTACCCACGTCGCTAACCAAGGGGTAATAGGGCGTGGACGCGCGGTTGCATTTATTTTGACAGCCATTGCGCGCAGGCTGCCCGCATGGCCGGTACCTAGCCGAGCGATGGCACGGACGAACAAGAGTGGGTCATCAGAGCTCTGGAGATCGACGATTGAATCAGGAAGTGGAGGAAAGTTGGAATATAGGCGATCCACATTTGACCAGTGCAAGACGAGAGCAATGAATCCGAGGAGCTGAATGCTTCGATTTCAACACACCTATATATATTGTCATAGACTGGGTCCTCTCGCGCTTTCCCTTGTGCTTCTATATGGCCCAGGTCAAAGCTAACGCATCATCGGAGTCGTACGTCACCCATGGCTTGTCTCATTGGAACACGCTTTGATCGTCAAAGCACATATCCACTGATCCATCCACATACAAGTACCTCTTTTGATGTCTCCATCTCCCACCCTGTCATGTACTCACCGTAAGTCTGCGCCCTCAGGGCCGCTGCGTATTCGTCACACTGGAAAACGCCCGTTTCAATCGTTGCCCCCTGGTATCCCGGCCCCTCATCAATCCGTCTTGAGTTTCTTCAGAACCACCTGTGACTTGTCGCGTAGGACATTAATGCCCCCGGTTCTTTCTGCTTCCCCCATCTAAAGGCGCACGCACTGTCGCTACTACTTAGCGGATAGTGCTGATAGAGCTCCTGTGTGGAAGCTCGCACTCGCATTTAAGGTCCTCAGATCCTTCTCAGATTAGCACCCAAAATTGGCCAATGTCGCCAATCTTCACGTCGTTGTGACTAAAGGATTTCTGAAGGTGACCTGGAGCCCAAAATACCAGATGGTGTTTGTGACTGCTGTCATCGAAATGTGGTATGTCATGAGTTATTCTTTCTCGTTTTACTCGCCGATGTGTCGTTGTTGTGATGCAGAAATCTCTACTACCTCTGCATACAACGCGTTGAAAGCAGTCCATCGCGGGTGCTCAACTAGGCAGTGAGTCCGCGGCCGGTGGTAATTTTCTGCGCCATCAACCGGGCTTCCCATTCCCAGCCTCACTCACAAATGTCGTGGGATTCCACAATCCATAAAAACATTTGAGTCTCTGGCATTGTAAGAACCAGTGTGTAAACAGTTGAACGTGCTAGCCTCTTCATAATGTCATTTACGTTTTTCTTCGGTCAACTTTATTTGCAATGAACGAGGTTTCTCTTTTGTGTGCAGACTCAACTACCGACGCATATGTCACTTCCCGCCCTTAACGATCTTGAAGAACGTTTGGGTTGGGTATATTACCATGCAAGGTACTCAAGCATTCTAACTCTCCTCCGGTGCCATACAAGGTAAACAACATATAGCCCTAACTGTACATACTAGATGCCATCGGTAAGTACTTCTTCCATGTCCGTGGAAAGCGAATCGGCCACGTTTGCTAGTAGGATGTCATCGGTAGTCTGAGCTCCAAGCTATACGTCTGAGCTCCCGAAGACTTCGCCGTATGTCTTCATTCATGCAATGCGAAAAAAAACACGCTTCTTTGTTGGAGGTATTCCGTCTACTAATCATGACTTGTGCGCATGAGGCCTGTGATAGTCACCACGGGAAGCCGACAATGTTCTGGAGACAGGTACCTGCATAGATCAAGAGATTATTTCAGTATTAGCGCGTGTAGTTCGAGAAAACTATTTATACACTCGTAACCCTCGTATAAGGCCCTCAAACCCACTACGTCCGCTCCCTCATCAAGTCGTCGAATATCTGTGTCCTCAGGTCGTGTAGCAGAGAACACATCTCGAAATACGCTCGAATTGCGGAAGAGCATCGACTTGTGTACTTGAAAACGCGATATCTCCGCCTGCTCTGAGCATAATGCTCCCGTCTTCAAGCCATGACTCCTCGTCGTGTTCCCAATCAGAATCGGAACAGAATTGAAGTTGCTTTCTTAAACTATTTATAGGTTAAAACTAGAAGACATTCTGAGATTCTCAAGAAGCAAAGGGAGAACTTGAGCCCAGAAGGTGGGGTTGTAGATGAAGAAGTGCAGCAAAAGGCGAGGACTCATACAAATGATTGGCATTGCACACAGGCACTTGAACCAGTATCTCAGGCTTACTGATGCCTTCAAGGTACCTTTGACTTGTTGAATGAATAGTGAGATGCACCTACAAGTTCTATGTACAGAACTGCTACAAATGGTTCATGGACA